CCTATACTCTCTCTCTCTCTCTCTCTCTCTCTCTCTCTCTTTCTTCAGAGCATCCCCCTATCTCTCGTTTTCCTTCCTTCCTTCACCCTGTCAACCCCTTCTTTCTTTCTTGTTCCTAAACCAAAAGCTACTAGGCCACCAAACCAACTATGGTTATGTCAAAATAATCAACTTGAGTCTTTTATATGTAAAAAAAATCCACAATGATGCATTGCTTGGTAAATACATCAGGATCGGTATTTTTGTAACAACATTCCTGTTGACCAATAAGTAGCCATTCATTTTAAGGTTATGGTTAAAAAGATGGTTCACCCAAAAGCTAAAATTCTGTTTTTTGTTGTCCTCATATCATTTCAAACCTGCTTTCTTTCACCGTCAGTCACCGTTCGCTTTCATTGCCTCTTTTTTCCCCTGCACTGCGAGTCAACTGAATAAATTGTGAGTAAATTGTTATTTTGAATGTTTTTGGATAACCTATATCTGTAAATTTATGATTGGTTTATAAAGTGACTGATATGCACGTTGTTCCAGGAACATGTCCTTCTCACACTGTGCTGACAGCAGGAACGTCACAGGTTATTAAACCTGATGCCAGCGGCACCTTGCCACAAGGTACAGGCTATTCTTATTGGTTTGTCTGCATCGATGCACCTCTGTTATCTGTTTTGGGTTATTTGTCTCTCTTTTTTGTCACCAAAGATACTCTCCCCTCCACCTAACTGGTAATTGGCCCTAGGAGAGACCTACTGTGCGTATTGCGATGTGATTTGTTTAGCTTTATTGAATTGAAACAGCCTGGTATCCTCTGCCTTACTCTGTGAGTCTAATATAAAATCAGATCACTTGCACTAGAGCCAATCTTCCTTGATTGTCACATGTTTGTTAGGAGCCATAATTTATTGTCTTGGCTTGTTTTTTGTTGTTGTTTTCTTTGGGTGGTGGACTCAGGGGTGGTAATTTCCCTTTTATTAAATATCATTAAGTCTCCCTCTCTTTCGTCTTTTTTTCCTCTTTTTATTAATGTGCTTTCTTGCTTTTCAATCCTGACATTTTGTGACGCAATCTCCAGGGTTTCAGTCAGAGAATTTGACCCTTTGCCCACTCGCCGCTCCATCACCAAGAAAACACACTTCCGCTTAATCATTCATGCACACACTGCTTTAATGCCCAATATTAATATCTGACAGGAGATGTACAGTGACCTTAGAGGGTCAAAGGTCACTTTCCTGCTGTTTCTAAGCATGCCCAGGCACAAAAGATTAAAGCTACAAACTTATTAAGCCATTTCTTCCCCAAACAAGCCGTTTCCACAAACATACAGGTGCATCTCAATAAATTAGAATGTCGTGGAAAAGTTCATTTATTTCAGTAATTCAACTGAAATTGTGAAACTCGTGTATTAAATAAATTCAATGCACACAGACTGAAGTAGTTTAAGTCTTTGGTTCTTTTAATTGTGATGATTTTGGCTCACATTTAACAAAAACCCACCAATTCACTATCTCAACAAATTAGAATACTTCATAAGTATTAAAAACAATAAAAAATTACTGAAATAAATGAACTTTTCCACGACATTCTAATTTATTGAGATGCACCTGTAATATTTAATAGATAAAACATACACTATTTGTTACTATTTGCAGTGAGATTTTTTTTGTGTGACTGTCATGAAACCTGTCAAGAAAATGTCCAGGTTATATGTCACCCTCAAATCAAAGAACTAAATAATATTTGTCTTTAATATATGCTGATTTAAATAAAAAACACTTTCAAATGCAGGCTATTGAACATAATGGGAATTACCAATAAATAAATAAATTGACGTCAAACATTCAAATGCATTACTGTAATGAGAATTTTAAGGGGGGAATATGTCACATTAATGTCACATTTTCTATACATTTATTGGTCATAAAATAGGTTTAAGTTTGTTATGTAATATATTTACATATATTTGTATATTAATAGATTTTTTGGGGGGGGGGGGATTAGACATTTTTTTTAATGTGACTCATTCTTCTGTGTTACCAAATAAACCTCTGCAGTATTCAGAAGTAATTATGCATAAGGATGATGTTACAAGCCGTGCAGAGCTTGTGTGTATGTGTATCAGTGATTGAAAGAGATAGTGTCTCTGCTTGTGTATGTCTGTATGTCTGTGAGCCTGCATTAGTGTAGGGATCAGGACTGAGGGCGTTAGTGGCTTTATCTTGTTTCACATTGCTAATGTCATTTGAGTGAGCTGTGTAGGAGACAACAGATAATTCAATGAGGAGACACTGTGCATGTCAGTAATGAACATGTTAGAAAGGTCATTAGCTCCATCTTGTGTTGAGTTTTGTTACTACAGCCATTCTGGAGAAAATTGTCCAATTGATTTTCAATGGATGTGTTTGAAATTACTAACAGCTGTCTTACTGCTTCATGGCTCAGCACCCTTTAAGGTTTGAGACTGCCTTCTAAAGAGCCAGTGAGCTTTAGAGATGACACTAGTAAATATTTTATGAATACTATGCTTATATCTATAGAAATTAAAAGAAAACTTGAAAAAAGTAGTTATAAATTAATTTACCACTTTCAACCATTTTATCGGATGCCATTTTTATAGTTTCATCCAAAAGTTCACTCAGAATTGTGAAATATAAGGCAGTGTATGTCTGTGCTGCCTTCAAACTATGGAGCTTATAATATGACAAAACAAATTGAATTTGTATTGGGTAAATTTGAATTATTGACAAGTGTCATTTAACAAAACTGAATATTATGTAGCATTTAACATAGTTCTGAATTTGATTTTTTTAACTTGAATATCAAACATTTGAAATTTAACACAACTGAATATTTTTATGGCAGAGTTTTATAGACATGTATTTTCAAACAACTAATTTTTGTTCTGAAATCTTAGACTGCAAATATCCAGTTTTTAAAAATACAGCTTCAAGTTTTCAAGATGAAGAGGAAATTCAGAACATCAAATTCAATATTCTAAAATTTAATATGCAGAAATTCAGATCGTACAGTAAGTAGGTCAGAGGTAATCCACAGGGAAGAGTAGATGATCTCCGAAAAGTCAAACAAAGCATTTTGGCCAATTAGTAGTTTTCTGGCATGAGTGTGCGGTTCAAGATCTACCTGATCATGAATCGCCCAGAGGTAGCCTAAGTGATTCTTAAACATTTATGGTTTATATACTTATATGTTAGGTTAGCATTCTCAGCATGTGAAACATTTGTCTAAGCCAGTGGTTCTCAACCTTTTTACTCTAAGGCCTCCCTCCTCTCCAAATCAATACAAGCACTGCCTGCGTCTGAGTAACAAACTAAAAAAACCAACAAAAAAAGTGCGTGTGATATTACCAGACGAACTACGCTCATATTTATATTTCCAAACAATCAGTAAGCGACAGGTGCTAGGAAACGCTGATTTGTACTAATTTATTGACGAGTCGGCTGCAGTGCGGCCAACTGAAAGCGCTGCTTCTCTGCTGCTCACTGCACAGAACAGACACTGCAGGGATTGTAGGTGGGGGGAGTGAATGTACAGCGCTCTCTCCACACAAAGAACATTGCTGCCCATCTGCAGTTTGCTAAAGATCATGTGGACAAGCCAGAGGAATACTCGAGAAATATTTTGTGGATGGATGAGACCAAAATAGAAAATGTTGGTTTAAATTAGCAGCATTATGTTTGGAGAAAGAAAACACTGCATTCCAGCATAAGAACCTTATCCCATCTGTGAAACATGGTGGTGGTAATATCATGGTTTGGGCCTGTTTTGCTGCATATGGTCCAGGATGGCTTGCCATCATTGATGGAACAATGAATTCTGAATTATACCAGCAAATTCTGAAGAAAAATGTCAGGGCATCTGTCCGAGAACTGAATCTCTAGAGATAGTGGGTCATGCAGCAAGACAATGACCCCAAGCACACAAGTCGTTCTACCAAACAATGGTTAGAGAAAAACAAAGTTAATGTTTTGGAATGACTGAGTCAAATTCCGGACCTTAATCCAATTGAAATTTTGTGGAAGGACCTGAAGCAAGCAGTTCATAGGAGGAAACCCACTAACATCACAGATCTGAAGTAATATTCATGATATATATATATATGGGCGATTCATGATAGGCTATATATATTAGTTTAATGTGCATTTTATTAAGCGGAAGTTAATGGTTATACTGTAATGTTTATTATGAAGCAAAATTGCATTAATAACAGACTTATGTATGACACTTACACCGTGTCTAGACAGGACGCGAGCAGTGAGACGCGGCGTGACAAAAGACAGCAGAACCTATTTATTATAATCAATACTGTCTACATTGAATGCGAAATTCCCAACATCAAACGGATTCCCCGTTATTCCTGACATAGTCCAAGCTCTTTGCAACGGGCACTTTGTAGCTTCAAGCAGTCGTGTCCATATAGTGTTGCTCCGCGCCGCA